CTTAAACTTTAAGCTTAGCACAAAAATACTCTCTTTCCAGCCTTATCACAAATAACTTTTCCCTTAACAAATAATAATAAACATCCGCTTAATAATATTAGAATAATTTCGATAGACCAGATTGTGGTATTTTTGATAAGCGAATATTATAAAAAATCACGTTAACCATTTAATTTGCAACTGATAAAGATACAGACAGGATGTGTGTGCGCTTTTCAAAAAATGCTTACTTAGTGAGTTGTTGTTTACTGCACAACATTTCTCTTCAATATGCCCATTCTACATTTTACAGTATCATACAAAAAATCGGTTAGGAAGAAAGGGGTTAAAATAAAAATAACAACACATCTGTTACAATATTTCTATAACCGTTAACAAAATGTTGACATTTTTTAAATGATATGCGTTCGAAAAACGTCACATTTGTTTTGTTTACCTTAGGCGATGCGCAAATGTAACATTGGCGCACTAGGTGTCATGAATGAGCAAAGTAAATTGCTAAATGTCAACTTTACTTTAACACAACGTAATGCAACAAAAAAATAAAATATTAATTTTATTATTTCAATAATGTTGCATAAAAAATTTTTTCTATAGAAAAAATTTTGTATGCACCTCATGCACGAAATTTCTTTGGTACTTTCGAAAAACGTCACTTTCAACCACCAAAGTTGATAACAATAGTTCACTATGTGAAACCACCACTTAACTACATACGAAACGCAGTCTTTTGAAAATTTGGCATTTAAGGCATTTCAGGTTATGTATCTGTCGAGGTATCTGTCAACAAAAGGAAATTAGATGATATTTTTGTTATATATTTTTACATACATTTGATACAGAATCTGTATTACAGATATTATTAGTCCATATTATAAAAGCAAGATTTTTTTAATAAATGCATTTTAATTAAACCTTTTTTAATGAAGAAAAAGACCAAATTAGAAGTATAAAAGCTTCAATTTAATTTGAACCATATTTAACAATTGTTTAGTATTCCTTTATTGAAATTACTACATTAACATACTTCCAAATAATCCAAAATACTTATTTATTTTGGTCAAAATAGATTTACCTAACCTTAAATTTACAAAATTAGATGATATTTTTTTTTTTTTTTTTTATTTTTTTTTTTTTTTTAATTTCGCATCAACCACGGAGGGTTATTAGCGATGACACTGGTCAAAAATAGTCACAAAATTCACAATAATCACGTTCAGTCAATCACGCACGAATTAGGTTTATATTTTGTTTGTGAGGTCACAGTTGTTGACAAATTGAAAGAGATTCCGAATATTACACTTTTCACCAAGAACGTCTTGTAGATTGTTCGCTAGATTTGCAGCCAGTCTTTCGTCTGCATACCGGGGACAGTCCAATAGTATGTGTTGCACACTTACTTGAGTATCACACAAATCGCACATGGGGGCCTCCTCGCCTTTTAACAGGTACTCATGAGTTATTTTTGTATGCCCTATGCGAAGTCTTGTTAATACAACCTGGGATCTTCTGGTAAGGGCTGTCTGCCAGGGTTTAATACTTTTTTTAACTTGATTAAGTTTAGTCTCTTGGTTATTCCAGTCCCGTTGCCAAGAGTCGAAAATTTCGTTTTTAAGGCGTTGTTTTAAGTCGTATGAGGTTCTTCTTACTTCGATTATGGAGAGCTCCGAATTAGTAGCTTCTACAGCAGCCTTATCTACAGCTTCGTTGCCTGAAATTCCTATGTGTGATGGGATCCAAATAAATTTCACTAGTTGTTGTTTTTGTTGCAATTCATAGAGCTCTACCTTAATTTCCTGTAGGATGCTTTGTTTCGGGTATATTTGTTTAATGCCATAGATAGAGCTTAATGAGTCAGTAAAAACTAAGCATCTCTGTATATTTTCCACTCTGATATACTCCAAGGCTTTCCATATAGCGTAAAGTTCTGCACTATAAATACTACTTGTGTAAGGAAGGATATATTGTTTACAGAAATTTGTATGTAGAAATGCTGAACCGACTCCCTCATTGGATTTTGATGCATCTGTATATATATGCTCAAAATTTATACTGGCTTCTATAATATACTTTAAGTTGGATTTGATTATTGAGTGTGGTGTGACAGATTTATCAAATGATTTGAGTCTGGTGTTACATTGAGGGATTTGAATTGTCCATGGAGGTGGTTCTGGTTTTGGTGGAGTAAACATTGGTGTAAAGTTTAAAAAGTTTATGATTTTTTTGTATTGATGCACTCTTTCTGAGAATGTGGGGTTTAAAGATTTTTTCGTTTGAAATGTTTTATGAAAACGTAAAGAAAAGGCAGCATCATAAAATGGGTGTTGTTGATTTAAGGCTACGTTGACTGCATATGATAGGTGGAGGTACATTCTTCTTTGGATAATTGGGAGCTCTCCTGCTTCGCATAACATACTTTTTGTTGGGCTTGTATGAAAGGCTCCGAGTGCCAATTTAATGGCTTTATTTTGTACTGGGTTTAGTAACTTTAGGATAGAGTTCTTGGCTGAGGAATATGCTATTGACCCGTAATCTAGTTTTGTTCTTATGATTGTTCTGTATATTTTAAGCAAAGTTATTGAGTCCGCTCCCCAGTTTTGTTTTGAGAGGATTTTCATTAGGTTTAAACCATTTTGACAGGATGACTTTAGGTCTTTAATATGGGGGACCCAGTTAAGTTTACTGTCAAATATCATTCCCAAAAATTTTATTTGAGTAACAAATTGTACTTCGCTGTCTTGTAGTTTAAGTGGGGAGGGCAAAAAAGTGTCTTTTTTGGAGAACATAATTGCTTTTATTTTATTTTTTGAGAACCTAAAGCCTGTGTTATTTGCCCATTCAGAAATACTATCAATTCCCTGCTGGATTTTTGTTTTAAGGGTATTAATGTTTTTACCTCTTAAGTAGATTATTAAGTCGTCAGCGTATAACCTAGCTTTGAGGGGCGGCTTTAGGTTTTTTGTAACACTGTTTATGGATATGAGAAAAAGTGGTATGCTAATTATAGAGCCTTGCGGTATGCCGTTTATTTGTAGTTTATTTTTTGATAGATAACCATTGGCACGAACTTTAAAGAATCTCTCTTTTAGAAAGTTTTTTAAAAAGGCCAACATGTTTCCGTCGATCCCCCATAATTTTAATTGCTTCAGAATAATGTATTTCCAAGCCGAGTCGTAGGCATGTTGTATGTCAAAAAATACTGTGAGACAGTTTTGCTTATTGGCAAAGCTTTCATTAATATAGGATTCAAGTTCAATAAGGTTGTCTGTGGTCGATCTATTTTTTCTGAAACCGTTTTGTTCCTGTATTAGTAAGTTATTTTGTTCTAAGTACCAGGTTAGTCTTTTGTTAATAATTTTTTCTAAAAGTTTACACATAGTGCAAGTAAGAGAGATTGGCCTGTATGACTCTGGGTTTGATTTGTCTTTGTTGGGTTTTAAAATTGGGATTATGGTTGATTCCGACCAGGACTTTGGGAATACTTTTTGTTTCCATACGAAATTGTAGATTTCCAGTAGATAATTCGTGGCACTAGAGGGTAGGTTTTTTAAGAATTGAAAAGGTATGTCATCCGGTCCGGGGCTGGAGTCAGATGTGTTTAATAAAGCTTCCATTAACTCTTCTAAACATAGTGGTTCATTAAGGGGGTGGTTTGAATCCGAAATAAATATTTCTTCTTTTTCTTGTTCTATCTTATAGTTTAAAAAATCTTTTGTGTATATAGAGTCATTGGAATTTTTTTCATATGTTTCGGCTAGAATTTCGGGTATTATTTCCTTCGCTGATATATTTTTCCCTTTATCTTTCAGCATAGTTATTTCATGTATTGTATTTAGTCCTTTAATTCTTTTGATGTTTTTCCACACTTGTTCTGTGGCTGTTGATGTATTTATTGTGTTAACAAATTGTATCCATGATTCTTTTTTAGCTTTTTTTACTATATATCTTGCTTTTGCTCTTAGTTGTTTGTATAAAATTCTGTTGTTTTCAGTGTTGTATTTTTTGCACAGATTGAAGGATTTTTTGTAGGCAGATATGGCATCCGCGCATTGTCTATTCCACCAGGGTACAATTTTATTATTAACAGGTGGTGTAGTTTTCCCAATACTGTCGTTAGCGGCATTAATGATTATATTTGTAAAGTGTTTTACCTTGCTATCAATATTAGTATTATTTAGAGGAGGGTTAAGTATGTTTGATTCTATAAGGCTTTGGAATTTTGTCCAGTTAGCTTGTTTTATTTTCCATTTTTTGTGAGGTTTTGCTGTTGAGTGTTCTTGTCTAGTAATTATGATTGGATGGTGGTCACTTCCATATGGATTATTTAGAACTTCCCAAGAAAAGTTGAAGTATTGTGATGTATCGCATAGAGTGAGATCAAGAGCAGATGATGTGCCAGAGAAGCTGTTGAATCTGGTGTTTTTGCCGCTGTTAAGAAGTAGGAGGTTATGGGCATCAAACACTGATTCCAAAATGTTACCTCTGTTATTTGTATGTTTGCTGCCCCAGGTTATGTTGTGTCCATTTAGGTCCCCCAGGACAATTCTAGGTGCTGGTATTTGTAAAAGTAGCTCGTTAAGTTCTTCAGCGTGCAGTTTATAGTTTGGGGGGATGTAGAGGTTACAAATATTAATTATGGTTGGAGCGTAGATTTTTACAGCAATAGCTTCTAAGTTTGTTGTTAGTTGTATTTCTTTAGATTCAATGTTATTTGATACATAAGTAGAGACTCCTCCGCAGGCTCTATTTGTTACTGGTCTTGTTTTGTGATAGCTTTTGTATTTTCTAGGATTATATTTTTTCCAATTGGTAAAATTGGTTTCCTGTAGGCATATGATGTAAGGGTTATATTCTTTAAGAAGTATTTGGAGCATTTCTAGGTGTGTAAAGAGGCTGTTAATATTCCACTGAAGAATGAAGGGCATTGTGTTGTTTGATAGTTTAATAACAGGTTTATTGATCTATGGAAGAGTCGCTGTCCAGTTCAGAAACTGATTTACCTTTTATCTGTTCCGATAACTTGTTGCGAATTTTTGTACATCTGGTTTTTATGCTTCGTTCTGTAAAATGTGGGTATATTAGAGTTAACATTACGATGAGGTCATGAATATCAGAGGTGTATTGTTTCGCACAACTTAACGGGTCTGGGGAGCCATGCACGTTTTCAAAAAAATCAGTGATTTGTTCAAAATTCAAGGCGAATTTGTTTTCTTCAACAAACTTTTTAACTGGTTCCATAAGTTGTTCAACTGTTTTGGTAGATATATCTGAGTGTTGTCTAGTTTTAAGTTTTTTCTGGGCTGTTTCTTTTGGTTTTATAAAAGGTTCGGTTTGGCTTTTTGGGTTGTCTTCTAATGGTGGGGTAAGAACAGTTGATATGGATCTTTTCGATCCAGTTGGTGATTCTATGATAGAATTTTCATTGATATTGGGTGTTTGATTGATGGTGTTATTTTGTGATAGTATATTGATTGGGTTCTCTGGAACGGTGGCATGAGTTACTTCTTCTATATTTTCAGGGGCAGAATTTGGGCAGTTTGCAGCTAGATGGTTTTGTTGCTTGCATTTAAAGCAAGTAAGTCCATCTTGGGTGATAAAAATTCTATAAGGCGTATTTTCATCCGTGATGACTATTGAGTCAGGTATAGAACAATTTTGAGGTGCAATATATACTTGTCTTCTAAAGCTTAGGATGTGAGAGTATTCAGGGTTGGGAATACCTATGCGTAAAAAGGTTATCGGCGACATTAAGGTTAGTCCCATTTTTCCTAGTTCGGTAGCCAGAGCTGTATGGGGTATTGTGGGGCTTACATTTGACAAAACTATACGCTGTGAAGGTGTTACTAACTTTCTTGCTTGAATTATTTCATTGTTAATAATTATAGATCCATGTTCATTAATGAATTTGTCAGCGATTTCTTTACTGGAGAGATATATACAAATTCTATTGTTGGAGATTCTTGATGAAAAGAGTATCCTTTTAGGGCCAACTTTTTCTCCCAAAGCTAGAATGTACTCATGGATTTTAATTCCATCAATAGAACTAAAGACAATAGCTTGGTGTTTGTTAGGAAATTGTTGTTCATTAAGGACTGTTGAGTAAGATTTTTTTGAGGAACTTTGGTTCACATCGTATTGTGTTTGTGTGTTCCTGTAGTCAGGAACAGTGTTGTTTAAATTAGACATATTTAATTCGATTTAATCACATTTGCAAGAGTGCAAGATTTTAACAGTACGGCCCTGCCTTACCGTATCTCGCAGGTGTATCCCTGCGGGACGAGGAGGCGCGTAGGGGGGGGTACCGCGTGCACTGTATGTAAGTGTTTTTGATTTAATTTTAATTGTTTTTACTTACAGTAACACGATTTTTTAAAACAGAACTATCACCATGCACCCACCGATTGTTAATTTTAATTTTGTCATCTATAAATATGAGTAAAACACTGTTATAGTCGGAGCTGATTTTTGTTAACTAGTTAAACGAAACTCTCTTGACCTTCAGATGATGATGATATTTTTTGTTACATAATAATAATAATAATAATAATAATACCGTTTATTTGTTCAAAAAATACCATAATACAATAGTGTAGAACATGTCAAAAAAAAAGAGAAATTAATTAATACAAAATCATTCATAAAATAAAGTGTAAATATACATAACAACAAAAAAAACAATAAAGAAATTGTATTAAACAAAAACATGTGTTATTGTTTGTTTGGGTCGGCCTTGACATTCCATAAATCAAAAGATTGAATTTGTCGGTCATTCATGAATTCTTCAGTGTGATAATAACATTTCTTCGACAATACAAGTCTCAGACGATTCTTTAATTTTTTGAGTGGAAGTTCTCTTACGATAGCAGGTAGGTGGTTATATATTTTTACTATTTTATAGCAAACATTTTTTTGTAGATAGGAAAATCGTATTAAATCTGTTGTTAGGTTTTGCTTGTATCTTGTACTATAAATATGATCTTGACTGTTAAACAAGTCCTCATTTTTTTTAATGAACATTACTGCTTCATATATGTATAGGCCAGCAAGTGTCAGGATATTATTGTTTAAAAAATAAGGCTTGCAAGATGTCATTTGACTTAGACTGAGTATATTTCTTAAGCATCTTTTTTGAAGAACTTCAATTCTGTATAGATCAGTCGAATTGTACCAGAAAATTATTCCATATCTAAGCTTAGACTCTACATATGCATTATACATCGTAATTGCAGCTTTTTTGTTTACATGTTTTGAAATTACGCTTAGTCCGTAGATATCTTTGGCCAAGGATTTTGCTAGGTTATTTATATGTACTGACCAGTCAAGCCTATGATCAATATATACTCCTAGGAATTTGGCAGACTCCTGTGTTGATAGGATGCTATTATTTCTGGTAAGTGTTAACTTTTCGTAGTTTTTCCAAAAAGAAAAATTAATTATTTGTGTTTTGTTTACATTTAATTTTAGGCTATTGTTGGTGGACCAGTTTTCCATGTCATCTAGTGAGCTTAGTATTTTATTTTGAAGATTTTCCATTGAGCTTTCCTTTATAATAAGTGTGGTATCATCCGCATAGGATACAACAGGAACATTGATGTACTGAGGTAAGTCGTTTGCATATATAATGTATAATAGGGGGCCTAAGATTGAACCTTGAGGTACACCCTTATCAATTATTTTGAAATCGGATTTTAATTTTAAGCCTTCAGCTGATTTTCCTATTACACATTGTTTTCGGTTATTAAGATAGCTTGAGATCAGTTTTAGGGCTATTCCTCTTACTCCATAGCATTCCAGTTTCTGTAGTAGTGTTTTATGACACACACTATCAAAAGCCTTTGATAAGTCAATGAATACAAGTGATGTTTTTTCGGAATTATTGAGTGCATCTAATAATAATGTCATACTTTGAAATATGGCTCTAATAGTTGATTTACCCTGTCTGAATCCGTTTTGCGTTTTAGATAGTATTTGCTTTTGTTCAAAATATGATATTAGTCTATGATATATAATTTTTTCAAAGACTTTACTTATGTTTGATAAAAGTGCTATTGGTCTGTAGTTTCCAATATTGGTTTTGTCTCCTTTTTTATAAATTGGCAATACTTCTGCAGTTTTTAATAAATCTGGAAAAATTCCAGAATTTAAAGATATATTTATTAAATGAGTTAATGGTGGTAGCAGTTCTAAGGCTGAATTTTTAAGTATTTTTACCGTTATGTTGTCAAAGCCAGCTGCAGTAGTATTCTTAAGATCCATTATCAAATTATAGACTTCAGTATAGTTGGTAGGTTTTAAAAATATTGAATAATTTGTAGTTTTTAGTCTTAATAAGTTATTAACAGTTTCATGACCACATTGATGGATGAAAAAATTATTTATTTCATTTAATGTTGAGGTTGGATCATTAATATTTTTCTCTTTAAAACATTCTATTAGAGATTCTTGGTTTTTAGTTTTATTTGCAGTTGAGTAATTTTTTATAATGTTCCACATAGCTTTTCCTTTATTTGATGACATTTCAATATATTTTTCATCAGATCTAAGCTTGGCTGCATGAATTACTTTTTTTAAGACTTTACAATATTTTTTATAAAATTCAAGACCTATTTTACCATTTATTTTTTGCATATAAAGTTTTCTTTTGTTCTTAGTTGATATCAAAATTCCTTTGGTAATCCATTTTTTATTATTTTCTTTTATAACTTTTTGAGGAAATATTTTATTAATTGTCAGTGACACTATGTTATTAAATAAGCCATAAGCAGTATTTAAATCATCACAATTATAAACTTGTGACCAGTTTTGCAATTTCAATTCTTCCTTAAAGTATAACATTTTTCTGCTTGTAAAAAGTCTTTTGTATTGATTTTGATTGTTTTTTTTATTTTCAGGAATTTTAATTTCCAGTAGCTGAGCATGGTGATCAGAGAGCGCCGATACAATGACTTCACCTTGGACAAAATTCTCAAAATTAACAAAAATGTTATCAATCAATGTAGATGATCCCTTATACTCTCTTGTTGCTTTAAATATAGTTTGGTAAAAATTATAAGATTTCAATAAATCTATAAATAATTTAGTATTTTTATTATTGTCAAATAGATTTAAATTAAAGTCCCCGCAAATGGCAATTTTGTAGTTTTTAAACCATTTTGTTAGATTAATGAGAAGCTTTTCTAGTTTTTGAAAAAAAACCTCTTTTGAACCAGAACATGGTCTATAAATGCATATTATAGTCACTTTTTTATTTTTGCTAAATACACTTGAACACTCCATAATACCTTCTTCATTTATTTTGTCAAGTTCTGGTCCATTCTGGTACTCAGAGTTATTTTTAACATAAATATTAGATCCTCCACGAATTTGTGTTGTTCTGCAGAAGCTGGAGATTAATTTATAGTTTTGTATTGTTACATAATTTTGTTCTTCCCTTGTGCACCAGTGTTCAGTTAAGCACAGTATCTCAGGAAATTTATTTAAGTTGTTGAAAAGAACATTTATGTCTAGTGTTTTCGTTTTTAAGTTTTGTATATTTTGATGAAATACATAAATAGTGTCTAATGTAGTTTTATTTTTTGTGTTTAAGTGTTTGTTTTTGATGTTTGTGCAGATTGAAAATTTGTTTGTGTAGTATTGTTACCTTTATTTTGGTCCTCTCTAGAAAAATAGTATCTGCTATAGCCTATACCACTTGGCCAAAAGTCCGGTTTATATATTTCCTCTAACAGATCATAATCGGCGCCAATTTTAAAACATTTTGTAGTTTTCCTATTGACCTCAACTTCCTCTATGATAAACTCTCTTTCTTTTAAGTTGTCTTTATCATTAAGAAACTGAGTTATGTCCTCCTTTACCACGTCTTTGTTGACCCTTGATATAAAAAGCCAAACTTTTTTGGGTGTACCTTGAAATTTATTTCCTGACTTATTTGATCCATAGCTGATCTTCTTTAGTTCAGATGTTTTTTGAGCCAGTTTTTTCTCTTTGTGAGTGTCTTTGTTTATATTTATTAATTCATTCATTTTTGTTTTTTGTGCATCAATTATATCTTTATATGAAGATTTGGTGGCTGTGCTATACAGTTTTTCTGCATTGGGTTGTATTTCTCTATTTTCATTTATTAGTGGATCTTGATGTGATTGACTTGATGATTTTTCTTTTTTCTTTGTTATTGTTTTTTGGTTATTGTGTTCTTGTTGTTTATTTACTAACTTTTCTTCTTGCAATGTTATTATTTTCATTTTATCATTTATGATTGTAGTTTTATCCAATATTTGATCTTTTAATAACAATATTTCTTTTTTAAGATGTTCTATTTGAACTTTGCAAAGATTTAAATCAATAGTAGTGAAACTACAGTCTCCACATCGAAAAATCAATGTTTTCTTCTTAAGTTCCATAACTCTCTGCTCTGTGGCCGTAAGTTCACTACATGTTGTACAATGTGCAGACTTACAGTCCTCGCACACATAAAGTTCCTTAAAGGATTTTGAACACTTTGAGCAGGTGCCCATTTTTAAGGTTAGGTCCTTTCACTTTCACTAAAACAAAAGTCCTGGTTCTTCACTTATTTGTTTTCGTAAACTGACAATTCACATTTTAGTAGAAAATCTGCTTTCACTAAATTATTGTTTATGTAGACACTTAAATTTAACAGCTTAGATTTTTGCGTTCATAACCTATAACCATAAATTATATAATAACCTACCTTTAATACAGATATTCTTATTCCATAATATAGAAGCTAGATTTGTTTTAATAAATGCTTAATTAACCCTTTTTATGGAGAAAACCAGATATGTAGACCAAATTTACAAAAGTATTAGCTATTTTGCAGAATTTCATTAAATGCAGTATTAATATTCCTAAATTCTTAAACCAACCATTATTATTGTGATACTACATAAAGATTTATTAATTTTGAACACTTAAACATAACCACTAAACGTATACATATATGATTTCTTTTGTTGACTATACTTTGACAGATACATAACCTGAAAGCCTTTAATGCCAAATTTTCAAAAGTCTGCCGTACGTATTCACGTGGTGGGACTTTGATGTACACCGAAAAAACAATTTGTTTGACATAATCGAAATTGATTTTAGGTAAACTAATCATTTGATTGTGTACTGCGCAACTAATATAGACTTAACTCAAGTAATTACTTAGTTTGGTAAAGTTGGTTTGGAACAAACTAATATTAATTTGACGTAAATGCATACATTTCTTTACAATTAGCAGATTATGTTCTTGCAAGTAAATATTTATTTCTAAAAAAATTTCCATTTCTTTGTATTAAACATGCACCTATTTGGGATAAACGCATGTGCTCTATTGCAACACAACAATTATTTCGTCACAAAAAAACCAACAGAATTAATTTGCCCAAAACGAAGATTTTATTGTCAGGAATAAGCTCTTTATTTGCAATAAAATTATTTAAATGTAAGAGAGGCTGGTAATTGAAAATTTAAATAAATTCAATGGAACAATTTTATTTTATAATATTAAAACAAAATACAGAGTATAATATAGATATATAGTATATATAATATATACATTTTCCAGTTGATATTCAGAAAGTAGCAATTGATAACAAAATACAGAGTATAATATAGATATATAGTATATATAATATATATATATATATATATATATATATGTAGTTACTACATACATTGTAGTATATGTACACTGTTGGCCACAATTTTTGCAACCACTGTAAAAAAATATATGTTCAATACCGTATTTTTGTTAGTATACTCTGAACATTTTGTACAAATCAAATGAACATCAACGAAGATACAGCGATTCAAAGTCGTCAAAAATGACCACTTTTTCAGCAAAATAATAAAAAGGGGTCATTTACCGACTTTGAAGCGCTGTATCTTCGTTACTGTTCGTTTAATTTGTACAAAATTTTCAGGGTATACTAACAAAATTGTCTATAACTCCTCTGGCTTGGGTGTTGCGAAAACAAACCATTCCAAAGTTATATATATTATAAGAATTCAAAATTCAAAAAATAAAAATTCCCGAAAAACAACAAATGAATTGAGGCAAACCTTTCAACACCAATGGAAAAAAAATTGTTGTAGTCCTTCGGAGGGGACTTTAAGCCCGCGGTCCGTTCCTACCCCTAACCCGCACAAGCCATTCAGTTGGCTTATGGGACTTCTTAAGAAGTAAGGGTGGAAATAAAAGAGCACTTTTGTATATAATCTTTAAACTTAAAAAAAACACCCTAGTATGTACATATAAAAATATTTTTAACCAAAAAAAATAAAACAAGAATACAAAACAAAATTTTAACTAGCTAACTCATTTTAAACAAAAATTATTCAAAAGGTTTCTCATACTTTAGTAATCATGTAGCAACCTATACATAAAATATAATAAGGTAACAAAAGTCAATAAATTAGTCATGATTAAAAAGAATAATAGTTTTATGCCCTCCTGTAATTGAATGAATTTTACTTAAATATCATTTTATTATAAATGGGATAATTACACATTTAGTTATAGTTAATAAAAATTGTGGCAATATTTTTCGGTGGTTAAAAACAATACAAGATCTTTTGTTCATTTATATAGATACAGGGGGGCTTCCTATAAGCACGGCGTACGATTATCTTATATCATTTATCAATTTAATTGTCTACTTTTCTTTAAATTATATGAACATGTGATATTTAAATAAATAGTTTACTCAACACACTGCATTTTTATCTTCATAAAATTATGTACTGCATGTATTTCATACACTTGTTTTCATGTTTTTTGGTTCACAATGTCTGCCTTGCGTTTGCTAGCTCCTTAACAAAAAATATTTTAAACAAATAAATATTTGGTAAAAACTGATTTCTTTGTGTCAAAATGTTACATTTTAATAATCTTATATCTACAACTTAATTTCAATTAAATTAATGGCAAAGTAACAACTAAGGGCCGTATGCAGAAACGTTGATTTATTTATATCAACTGATTTACGCATATCCACTGATTTAAGTTTGGACCAATTTGGCAACATAACAAATTTTAAATGACAGCAGATTTGTATCCTTTTTCTATGGATTTTTAGGTAATCTTACATATACTTAAATATGTGTTTATTACATTATATAAAATGTATTATTAAATATACACATAAATACATTTATAACTGACTTAACCTTATTATTGACAAAAGTTCGGTTTTATATAGGAATTGGCAATATAAAACACAACAATTGGGTTATGTTTGCAATGTATTTTGTTACAAGTACGTAAATTTGCATTAGAAGGTATGAGAAACGAAAATTACGGCTTAAAGCCTCTGAAAAGAACAAAGAAATTTTGTTGATGTTGGTGAAAATTTTGTTTAAGTGTTTGTTCTTGTAAGAGATTAATTAATTATATTATAATTATGATAATTATATTATAGTTATAGGAATACTAGACCTGTTTCTAAAAGGCAATGCTCTTTTACATATTCTTTTACAGGTACCAATAATATAAGAAAATTAAGAAACAAACTCTAGAGAATAACATACGTTAGTTAATGCTTGATATACATAAATTATGGCTTCAGAATAAACTTTTTTAATCAAAAGGAATACTCTATACTCAAAAATTGCTTGTCCAGAAAAATTATGCTAAAAAATGGATGGGAAGTGCAGCCTCGAAACTTTTTGTAGCATGCATATAGTTTACCCTTGCCTGCCGCCCCCCTGAACAAAATCCTGGCTACACCCTTGCTGGAAATGGGGCAAGAATCCCTGCTTTTCTAAAAGGTTAAATTAAACCCAATGAAATAAATTCGGCATGCCTTATACACTTTGTTTTTTAAATAATTTACTTACTTATATTGAAAAATTTATGTACACAAATTTTAAAAACTGTTACTTTTATAAAGCGAACTTTAAAATTTAATTGTTGCAGTTCTAGTCCAGATTTTTTTACCCTGTGTATTTTATTTTAATAATAAACATATTGTTTCAAACCATATTTTTAATTATTTGTCAAATAAATATTACAAATAATAAAAACAATTTAAACCAAAAATATAAAAACATAGTTTCATACACTGCCTGTTTTTGCTTTCTAGCCAAAACATTTGCTTTTACCTACAGGGTGTATTTTGTATTTTCCTATAAAATGTCTTGTAAACTTGTATTATTGGCAAAAAATGTTAATAATATTACACAGTACAACACGATTTCCCTCCCATGAAAAATTTTAGCAGATTTTGAAAATAGAGGTAAAAAAAACGTACCCGTGTCTCACAGTTTCACGAGATCACGTCATAAAAAAATTTTAAGCCGTCATTCCTATTATTTATGCTTATACAGTTTGTACATTTTTTACTCGGTTAAAAATATATTTTTTTGTAAATATTGTATGTTTTTACACAATACAAAAAACAAATATAAAAAAGTTTATATTTTGATTTTTTTTTAAATAATTTTTTTTTATTTTTTTTTAATGAAACACATTTTTGTATTTATCTTATATTCAATACATGTTGGAATAAAATCTTGGTCGTTTAGTTTGACGATTATACAGCTTGTTCAGACTAAAACCGAATATATCTATATATATATATATGGGGCGTGGCCTCGCCTCCCTCCAACGCGCGACACAGTAGCTAAGCAAATAGACTGCATCGCTAATGAGATTTTTTGCATTATTATCTTTTAATTTTTTAAGTCCTTACCTGCTCGACCTTTCGTCATGTCGTTTATCACACCAGCAACTGTGACGCGCCTTGGAGGGAGGCGAGGCCACGCCCCATATATATATATATATATAGATATATTCGGTTTTATTCTGAACAGGCTGTATATTGCTTCAGAATCTCGAACAATTGACCAGCAATATTCACCCAGCAAATGCCTGACGTCTTTTCCCTTGAAGCGTTTTTCAATTGTTAAAATGTCTTGGTGAAAACGTTCGCCATGTTCGTCACTAAAATCGCCCAAATTTGGTGGAAAATAGTCCAAATGAGCATGGAGAAAATGTATTTTCAGTGACATATGTACTTTCATGTCCTGTGTTATAAAATGTACTTTATAACCCGAACTACAGGGAATAAATTCAGATTCCATCTCGGAAAAAATGGTTGTACTGGGTGTTAAAGGTCTTTTACTTTTATCCTCACATATGTTTTCTGAAGGAGCAGTTGGATAATCTTCAGATCGCACTCTTGCGAGAATGACGGATTCTACATCGGCGTAATCAATTTTCTCTCTAGAATTGTACCGAAATCCAAAACTTTTTAATTTTGACATGCAGAAATAACACTGGTCAGATGCGTGTTCGGTACGTCGCGACGGGTCGAAGCCAAATTGTTGGTGCAACATATTTCATACTGTGTGTTTTATCTTGCAATCCATGCAAACAACGGTAACAATAATCGCATAAAACCTCTGGTACATACCATAAGTTTGGTATATACGTCACCAAAAAATAGTCTTCAAAAGCTGTTACTACACTTTTTGTAATATTTCGCATATGGCTTGGAGGTGCAAA